CAGGGTTGCTCTCAGAAACCCCATGTTAGGACCCTGAGGCAGTTGCTGGCTAGCTCTTCAATAAGAGGACTGTTTAAATTTAACTTGTTTAGCCCTGTGGTCTTTGTGGAACTCCTTGGCACAACATTCCAAGTTCACTCCAATATACTCGTGCTGTTCACAGCTGTATCACCTGGCTCAATGCACAGGATGCTCAATGTTGAGTTATTAGTGTTAAGAGGTATCTTTTACACTTCACCTTAGCCAAAAGGTGGAGAATGGATTGTATGGTGTATTTTAAAAGGATAACAGATTCAGTTCATGCCCAGCGAAGTCAAAAGTTAAAATAAAGAATTCAAAGTCAGAGAGTTTTCACCAGAAAAGTTGAATTGGCCAACAATATTGATGACTTTAGGGAGAAAAATCAGGAAATTTAGGAGCTGATTTGTTGATCTTTGCCAGCAATGTCTAAATACTAGAGGGGGAACAGAGAGTGGAGTTGGAAAAACAAAAGAAAAGAAAATAAAAGCAAGGAAGTGAAATGATCTGGTCAAAATGGTTTTGGACGAGGCTTGAAGGAGGGACAAGGAAGTTGGCCACTTAGTGTTCATTCAATGTACACTAACAAATAAAACAAAGCTGCTCTGAATTTGAATTACTTTGTAATTCAAAGCTACTTTGAATTACTGGGAAGAAAAAAAAAAGTTGAAGAAATTAGTTTAGGTCCAACCTAATTTTGGTTTTCTCGCTTTCTCAGTCTCCAACAAGCTCCAAGACTTCCAACTTCCAAAATATTCCCTCAAGTCCACCAAAGCACCCAGTCCTGCCTGAAAGGACTGGCTGAGGTCCTCGAGTAAACTTCTCCATTCATGGCTCAGTATGAACATGACCTTCCATGTGCCCAAGTCTATTCCTCATGTTTTTTCTTCATTTTGTTTGCCCAGGTATGATCTATCCTGGAATTAAGTGAGAAATTAAATTTATCTGGGGTTGTTTGCTTCTCCATGTTGACCATTATCTTCCACAATTAAAGAAGAGGAAGGGCAGGGGAAGGAATGAGATAGGCACAGTGGAGGAAGGGTAATCGGTGAGAGCTCACCTGTGGTGCCTATTTCAAGGGTACATGTCAAATCTATTAAGAATAGAGTATAAATGTCTTTTTCTTTTTATTTTGAGTATAAATTTCTTAACACAACAATTAAGTAAGTGAGGTGAAGGTTGTATTAACCATTTTGATGTAAGCATTCCAAATTGTATATAAAATCAGCAGATTGTACTCCACAAATGCATTAATGTACACAGTTATGATTTAATTTAAAAAATTAAAACAATAAACTTATTTTCACCTGTATTAAGTGCCTCTTTTTTTTTTTTTTTTTGCCTCTTTTTAGAGTTTGACCTTATGTAAATGAGGTAATTGCTCTATGTTTCAGTACTCATCTGTATAATAGAATAACACATAGCCCCTAAGGCCTCTATGAGATTTAAGTAAAATAATGTGTGGCAATGTTGTGACTTGCACAGCTGAGAAAGAGACTTGGACCCCACTTGATGCAATAATCAATAGAAATTTATTAACACCTGCGTAGGAGGCCAATGCTATAAGAAGCAATTGACCACAAATGGCAGGCCAAATGGGTTTTTATACCCTATTTTCTGCATCACAACAAGCACACAAAAGAACAAAAGCGAACATTGCAACATAAGTTGAGAAACTTTTCTGAGAACTCAGGAGTTTCTTTATCTTTAAGCCTTTTCTCAGAATTTTTTCTCCTCCCTATGTACTTCCTTATTGTCAAGCCTCTTTTCGGAATTCTCCTCCCCACCCTTGAAGGGGCTGGGACTAATGGAGTCAAAGGAAGTTTGTTTTCAAGGGTAAAGGGCTTGGTTATCACAGGAAAAGCCATTACTTATTTATCAATTTTTTGAGACAGAGACTCACTATGTCACCCTCAGTAGAGTGCTGTGGTGTCACAGCTCATAGCAACCTCAAACTCTTGGACTTAAGTGATTCTCTTGGCTCATCCTCTCAAGTAGCTGGGACAACAGGTGGCTATTTTTTGGTTTCAGTCATCATTGCTATTTTGGCAGGCCTGGGCTTGGCTCCAACCTGCCAGCTTCAGTGTATGTGGCTGGCGCCCTACTCACTGAGGTACGGGAGCTGAACCAAAAGCCTTTCTTTAAATTGATGAACATGTGAATTCCTCTGAATGCAGATAGATTAATGTAAAATAACTCTTAAGGAGGTGTATTTCCCACACCTGGAGTACAAAAATCCTTTTATGTGTTAGTGCCTTCTTGCGTAGATTTGGGAAAGTACCAAGTTCTAGGGTTGAAAAGAAAGCAGAAAGACCTCCAGCTTATGAAATTTATGAAATTGAGGTTTTAGCTGCTGACCTCATAGAGTGAGTAGTCTCCAAGTCAAGAAGAAGAATGATGACAAACATGAGGTTCAAGGTCAGACTGTCAGGGTCAGAGGCTCACTCTATGGTCAAACATCTCTGCCTCCAGCATCTTCAAGTTTACATGGAAATAAAATAGTACCTATTTCATCATAGGGATTAAATAAGAAACTTGTTTGCTGTAATGCTCAATGAATTAACAAGTCACGTTGTCGGGTGCCCATAGGTCAGTGGATCGGGCAAGGGCTACATACAATAGGGGCTGATGGGATAGAACACTGCCCCAAGCCTACTAAAATGAACAAAATAAAAAGAATTAATCAAATCAGATTTGGTGATTGGGTAAATCAGATTTGGTGGATTGGGTAAAGCCACAAAGAGGTGTGGCTAGGGACAGCTGAGTAGGGTGTATGCAGGGTGGGCTTCTCAGGCTTGTATTTAAGTAATGCTGCTCAGAGCAGTGCTGTATTGCTCTGAAAGGCTGAAGTCGAGATTGGACGTGCCTTCCACTGGTGAGTAAGTGCATTTCATGGTGACCAATGTTTCTTTTGTGGGACGCTGTCTGCCTGATGTTCTGGTGTTTGAAGGGGTTTTAGTGTTCATCTCTTTCTCTTTTTCTTTTTCCTGAGATAAGGCTTTCTATGCTGCCTAGTCTGGCCTCCCAACTCCTATGCTTTAGTGATCCTCCCCCCTCAGACTTCCCCTGTAATTGAGGTTAAGGGTGTCTCCCATTGTGCTGGCTTTTTGAGCTTTCACTTTTTAAAAGTGCAGGCATCAAATAAAAATAATAACATAAAAGTACAAACTCATAGGCTGGGTGCAGCTCATGTAACCAAAAGAATTGTCTATGGTTGCTTTACAGTAGAACTTGGGACTAGCACTGTCTCTGGTGTTTAAATACCAATGTGTAGTTGCAGTAAAGAATGTTTCTTACTTAGAGATACCTATGGGAGTATTTTCAGGTGAAATATCTGCAATTCATCTTAAAATACTGAAGGTGGGTTGTTGAGGAGTAAAGATTGGCCATGTATTGCTCAGGCCTACCATTTTGAGGTTGCTGTGAGCTATGATGCCATGGCTCGTAGGGTGCCAGTGTCAGACTGTCTCAAAAAAAAAAATATTTAAAACATTCTTGATTTTATGTCTGTTTCCTGTGGGACATGGTGGTGGCCATTGGGTCAGAAAAATGAGTAATATTCTCCTCATTTTCCATGTTTTTCTCCTTGTTTTTCTTGGTTGTTAGAGCACAATTATGGGTCGCAAGAAGAAGAAGCAGCTGAAGCCATGGTGCTGGTACTGTAATAGAGATTTTGATGATGAGAAGATCCTTACACAGCACCAAAAAGCAAAGCATTTTAAATGCCATATATGTCACAAGAAATTGTATATAGGACCTGGCTTAGCTATTCATTGCATGCAGGTACATAAAGAGACAATAGATGCTGTACCAAATGCAATACCTGGGAGAACAAACATAGAGTTGGAAATATATGGAATGGAAGGTATTCCAGAAAAAGACATGGATGAAAGAAGACAACTTCTTGAACAGAAGACCCAAGAAAGTAAAAAAAAGAAGCAACAAGATGATTCTGATGAGTACAATGATGATGATTCTACAAACTCAACTTCATTTCAACCACAGCCTGTTCAACCTCAGCAAGGTTATATTCCCCCAATGGCACAGCCAGGACTGCCACCAGTTCTAGGAGCACCAGGAATGCCTCCAGGCATACCTCCATTGATGCCTGGTGTTCCTCCTCTGATGCCAGGAATGCCACCAGTTATGCCAGGCATGCCACCTGGATTGCATCATCAGAGGAAATACATGCAGTCATTTTGCAGTCAAAACATAATGATGCCAATGGGTGGAATGATGCCCCCTAGACCAGGATTACCACCTCTGATGCCTGGGATGTCACCAGGTATGCCTCCCCCTGTTCCGTGTCCTGGAATCCCTCCAGTGACCCAAGCACAGGCTGTTTCAGCACCAGGTATTCTTAATAGACCACCTGCACCAACAGCAATAGTACCGGCACCACAGCCTCCTATTACTAAGCCTCTTTTTCCTAGTGCTGGACAGGCTCCGTCAGCTGTCCAAGGACTTATTGGTATAGATTTCAAGCCTTTAATTAGTACCCCTGCAACAACTACAGAACCCCCAAAGCCTCTGTTCCCTGCTTATACACAGTCTACAGCTTCAACCACTGGTACAACAAGTAGTACTGCAGCTAAACCAGCAGCTTCAATAACAAGTAAGCATGCTACACTAACGACAACTAGTGCAACCAGTAAGTTAATCCATCCAGATGACGATATATCACTGGAAGAAAGAAGGGCACAGTTACCCAAATATCAACGTAATCTTCCTCGACCAGGACAGGCCCCCATCAATAATCTACCAGTTGGACCAGTTGGAGGTATGATGCCACCACAACCAGGCATCCTACAGCAACAAGGAATGAGACCACCAATGCCACCTCATGGTCAGTATGGTTATCATCATCAAGGCATGCCAGGTTACCTTCCTGGTGCTATGCCACCATATGGGCAGGGAGTGCCAATGGTACCCCCTTACCAAGGTGGGCCTCTCAACCTTCAATAGGAATGAGACCTCTGGTAATGTCGCAAGGTGGCCACTACTGACCTTACTTCATCCAGTCTAATAGGTTTGGAGATTAAACCTTTTCTCTTAACTTATGTTGTTTATATAGCCAAGCTTCCATCAATAAGGTTTCATTGTGACTTTAACAAACATTATCTTCCCACATTCCAGGAACTATTGCATAATTATTTTACATGGGAAAAATTATTCGGAATAATAAAGCAGGAACTTTTCCTGAAGTTGCAATTTATACCATATGGCTTCTTTTTCATGTTTCATCTAGGTTTTTAGAAATGAAGTATAGTAAATTTGGTTCATTAAATTGTGAAGACACTGGAATTACATAAACATACCACCTTAATAAAGGTGAGTTCTGTACGCTTACATTGCTATTTGTAAAGTTATGCCTTCACAGCATTTCAGATGCTTTTGGACTTCATGTTCCCAACCTAGTTGGTGAGGGCTGTAACTATTTCCAGGTACCTGTACCTTGGAGGTCTGAATGTGTAAACAATATTTAATGTATTTAGAGTTCCTCATGTTGCAGGGTTTAAGAAATCTGACCCACCAAGGTCATGTGAATTTCTGTACTGTTAAAATTCATTGTAATAAAATGAGAAAAAAAATTATGCCTTTTAATTCATAACCCAGCTGTTGCCTGAAAGGTTTGTACAGATGCATGCCACAGTAGATGTCCACATAATAAAATTCATAGTTAGCAATACAAAATAAATAAATAAATAAAACATTCCCTCCTTTTTTTTTTTTTTTTTTCCTTTTTTCGGAGACAGTCTCACTTGTTGCCCGGGGCTAGAGTGCCATGTTGTCCTAGCTGACAATAACCTCAAACTCTTAGGCTCAAGGGATCTGCTTGCCTCAGCCTCTGAGTGGCTGGGACTCCAGGGATGTGCCACAAAGCCTAGTGAATCTATTGGATTTTTTTAGTAGAGATGGGGTGTTGCTCTTGGTCAGACTAGTCTTAACTCATGAGCTTGAGCAATCCACTGGCCTCCTCATCTCAAGTGCTAGAAAACACCTCTCACCAGATTCTTCTGGCCAAGAATAAGACATGAATATATCATCTAGAGCTCATTGTGGTGGTTAAGTAAACGCTCATTTTTCAATGAAAGAAATTGTCCTTTGGGCCATAAGGCAAAATTCAGTGTGCCTGTGTTTCTGGGAGATTTGTTGTGAGGGGTGGACATTTTTTATTTAAATTTAACTGTTAGTCAGCAGAGTAGTATAGGCGAAGCATGCTGGGCCCATAAATTTAACTCCTAAGACTGGGTGAGATGGTGACTGATTAATTATTTGCTGTATTTCTCTGTGTTTCTCCTTCATCCATGTTGGTTGATTAGGAACTATTTTGACCAGGTTATGATCTGGGCTTTTTCCCCTGGTCCTGACCTGATGTGAATAGAGACCCAGAAAGGCCAGAAAATAGCCTGACCAAGCTTCATTGTGGTAAGCCTCTCTCTCTTAGAACTAGTTAGCTGCCACCTTTGAGCTTTGGGTTAGGGGGGTCTGGAACACCAAATAATTAAGGCAATGGTGTTCTTACAGTCTACCACAGTGGTTCTCAACCTGTGGGTCACGACCCCTTTGGGAGTTTAACGACCCTTTCACAGGGGTTGCCTAAATACATTCTGCATATCAGATATTTACATTACCATTCATAACAGTAACACAATTACAGTTATGAAGTAGCAATGAAAATAATTTTATGATTGGGGGTCGCCACAACACAGGAACTGTGTTAAAGGAACTGTGTTACAGGAACTATAAACAGCATTAGGAAGGTTGAGAACCACTGGCCTATCAGCTTAGGTTTCTCATCCTTTCCTTATAAAGCCTTGAATCCCATCACAGGATCCCCCAACATCATGGTCTCATCTGACCCTAATTATTTCCCAAAGGCAACACCTCCAAATGCCATCAATATATGAATTTGGGAATTCAGTTTCCAACAGTTGAATTTTAGGAGGACACATTCAAATAAGCAGAAACCACCTAGGTCTGGTGTTCTTATGTGAGGCAATTACTTGATAAACTTCTGTTCTTTGGAAATCAATCTTTTTTTCCTTTCTATGTCTTAGTTATTTTTGGTAAATGTATTCACCTAAAAAATGATTTTCTTTTCCTCTAGGTTTTCAAATGCATGGAGATTGCAAAATAACCTCTCATGGTTTTTAAAATCTTGTCTTTCAGAGCGCTTGAGGCTAGAGATTGTGGTGTCTGTAGGTTGTCATTTGGAGTTTGGAGCTCCAGCCTGGATCATCAAGGTTGTTTGCAATGACCTTCTGGGGAAGAAGGTCAGTGTTAAATGCAACATAAATGACACCGTTGGGGACCTTAACAGGCTGATTGCAGCCCAAACTGGCACCCACTGGAAAAAGATTGTCCTAAAGAAACAGTACATAATTTTTAAGGACCATGTGCCTCTAGGGGAGTATGAAATCCTTGATGGGATGAACTTAGAGCTTTATTACCAATAGAGCAGACTTCATTTCCCCAGTCTATAGTTCTTTCCTCCCTCACTGGTATGGATGATTGTTTTTAAAAACTCATATTAGAAATGTCATATTTAAAATTTGACAAACCTTCCAAATTCAAAACTCTAAATTTGGTGCATGGTGCCCATGACACAGTGGATACAGTGCCAGCCACATGCACTGAGACTGGTGAGTTCAAACTCAGCCTGGGCTAACAAAATGAAAAGGCACAACTCTAAATTTGGTCTTCTTGACATATTAAGATGAATGAAAGTCATAAGAAAATGAATTAAACTTATTTTATTTATTTATTAAAAATGTATAGAAAACCTTGTCAAATATGAAATGGTGATTAATTTTGTATGGATTATAAATATATATATATTCCAATATTACAAAGCATTGGTCTGTCCCCATTTGTAAAATATTGTTCTGTCCTAATCCAGAGTTTATCCTGAAAAAAAAATATTGAGAGAGACTGACGAATTCTCTTAAATTCAAATTCCTGATGTTTTCAAAAAATTAAATACCTTTGAACTAAAAACAGATTTTTAACACTTTCATTGGAAAGTTAACATGTCTATGAGTGTGGCTAATTTAACTTTAAACAGAATAGAAATCTGTTACATAGAACTGAGATAATTTCTTATGGCTTTTTGTTCAAATTATAGCTTTTTGTTCAAAATATTGTTGATTCTGTCTGTGTTCTATTCCAAAAGTCAAGAAAATAATTTTCTGATTTTTGAGCTACTTGTAAAGCAATATATATATTTATAAGTAGAAGTTTAAAACATGTATTTTTCTCTCTCCTTGATTTCTCTGGAATTTAAAAGCCTTTTGTAAGTATTTTTAATTTCTAACAATACAGTTACTTGCAGAAGTTCAATAAGAATCTGTTTTGTTTTATGAAACATAATGAAGGCACTGGTTATTTTACCAAGGCTTTAACTGGAACATCTCCAAAGGTGTCCAGACTGCATTAAGGAATTAATGTTCACTTTATTAGGCCAAAAAAGCCCAATGAAAAACTGGCCAGATACCCATCAGTAACCTTTCCTGATTTGTAGTAAGTAATGAAGGTTGCTTGCTGACAAGACCAGGAATCAAAATGTGCTTGGAAAGCCCAGTGCATAAAGGTATCTAATGGCACAGATGGCACAGATGAAACCTGGGCTCATAAAAGGCTTTTAAGAAAGTCAA